TCTCCTCTAGTGACACTTCAATCTGTGACAGTTCCTCAGATTTGTCACCTACAAAAACCGGCTCAGGTTTGGGAATCTCCCAAACATCCTCAGCCATGGAGACTGAAGCAAAGAATTGGTTTAGTTTTTCCGCAATGACTTTATCGTCTTTAAGTGCTCCTTTTCTATCTCTATCATCGAGGGGCCCCACTGGTTGTTTAGCAGGCTTCCTGCTTCTGATGTACTCAAAAAACATTTTGTTATTACCTGTTGAGTTTTTGGCTAGCCATTCTTCAAACTCCTCTTTGGCTTTTCTTATTACATTTTTACACTTAATTTGGCAGTGTTTATGCTCCCTTCTATTTACCTCGCTAGGATTTGACTTCCACTTTTTAAAGGAAGTCTTTTTATCTCTCACTGCTTCTTTTACATGGTTGTTAAGCCACGGTGGCTCTTTTTTATTTCTTTTACTGTGTTTCTTAATTTGGGGTATACATTTAAGTTGGGCCTCTATTATGATGTCTTTAAAAAGCGCCCATGCAGCTTGCAGGGATTTCACTTCAGTCACTGTACCTTTTAACTTCTGTTTAACTAACCCCCTCATTTTTGTATAGAAAAAATATTGTAATATTTAGGATTTGACGCTCAATCAAAGGTAGAGTTACAAAGGCTGCATCCTTCAGATGAAATAACAGCCTAAAATTTCGACACAGGGAATTTATTTTAATATAACTTAAGCTGAGCTTTTAGTTTTTATGCCTGTAAATATATAAATTCATCTTCATCACAGAGATTATATACATCTAGTGTCAGTGTAATACTGGTAAAACTATTAATGCCTAACTATCAAATACAAAATATATGAAAGCTAGTACAGTTATGAGGAATTGGGTCCTGGATATCACATGGTGCCTTGAGCCACTGATTAATATCAAATTATAGAGTCTCTCACTTTCTTAATTATACATTAGAAACTCTTTAAATAGGAGTTCTGTCTTTGCTTGCTCTAGTCCCAACACAATCTGAAGGGGAAGGAAAGTAAAGCTCTTTGGGCCAAGGACTGTCTTTTCGTTCTGTTTGCACAACACTTCGGGTCCTGGTCCATGACCATGTTCCTAGGTACTATGGTAATACTACTTCTGATAAATAGTAGTATCTGCAATCTTCTAATGTGTCCAACCGGATTATGTTTTTACAGCCATCTTTGAATCCAGAAGCTGGAAAACAGAATAACCAGAGCAAACCTTTAGGGACACCTTCTGGAGTGTGGGGTACGTAGAGAAGTTTACATCACTGTATAGAAAACAGATGACCACTTGTAAAGCAGAAGAATTGAACAATATGTTGAAACTCTAGTTTTTCACATAGGGGAAGATCTTAAAGGAAGATTAAACTGAAGTAGGCAGCTACCTCTTTCTTTCTCTCCCTTCGTTCTTTTCCTTTTTATCTCTCTCCTCAGTCTCTTTTCTGATACTTAGAGTTGCACTTGCTGCTGTTTGAGAATCTTCTCTTCCATTTCCTGCTAATGGCACAAACTCCGTACAGGAATGTCACTCGTCTATAATGGTTGCTAATTCCATGGGAAGATCACAGCTTCTCTAAGATTGTGGGTGTTGAGTGTTGGAATGAAATGATCATGAAAATACTTGATCCTGCATTGCTAAATGCAGAATGAGAAGTGCAGAATAGGGCTGAGAGGACTAGAGGGAGCACAGCTCCCTGATTGTAAGTGTTACGGAGGTGATATTTGTAGTGGATATGCAGCAATACTGTACAAATCTACAAGGCTGTGTTCTTGTGGTTCATCATCTTTTTTCAAATTAATTAAAAAGAAAATAGTTCTAAATTCCTGGATACTATACATGACGTTTTTGTTCCCTCCATTGAAAAAGCTAGGCTGATGCAAATGGGGTGCCTGTTATCAGTGCCTGAAAATGTTTCTTTAATCACTAATTGGAACCTGTAACTCTAACTAGACACTTTAATTTGGGGTGGGATAGAATTGTAAACCAGTTATTTATTAGCTGTATCCTAAAAACATTCAGCAATCTGTTGTACTAGATCTAATTTTAATCTCTTGAGTGTTTGATTCAGATCTTTACTGGTCCACCCAAATGCAATGCAAGATTAGCAGCAGTAAAAAGCTGTTTAAACACTTAGCGGTTTACATTGCAGTTGTCAAGAAAGTGTACTGGTGCACTTTTCAAGAAAGTGTACTGAGAACTTCTGTTTGCTCCACCAGAATGTGGTGGTAATGGTTGCAGGTTGCAAAACATTGAAACTTAAAGCATGAGTTTCACTAAATATTTTTGTTAGTGAATTAACCTAAAATTGCTCAGTAGTTATTCAGAACTTAAATATAATTACCCATTCTGGTTCCTTCTTTCAGCAAAGTCTGAGAGGCGGTTAAAATCTCAGGCTGATGTCCTAGGCAGTTTTTTTTTCAAAATCAAGAGGAGCCTACAAAATATTGGACTTTACCATCTTTGTCTGATATTCTCTTCACTTGACTTCAGAAGCTGTTAGCAGCAGCAGCATGAGACTCTCTCAGCATCTTGGACTCTAAGAGGTAGAATTGGAGCTGAGGTAGAGTCAAGTTTTGTGGAATTACTGAGCTCCTAATTATTTGAGGTCTTGTTCCCCTCTGTTTTTGTAGAAAACCCCCCTAGTGCCAAGCAACCTACCAAGATGCTGGTCATCAAAAAGGTTTCAAAAGAGGATCCTGCTGCTGCCTTCTCAGCTGCGTTTACGTCACCAGTTCCTCACCTTGCAAACGGCAACAAGACCACCACAATTGTCCCAAGTGTCTACAAAAATCTGGTTCCTAAACCAGCAGCTCCTCCATCTAAGGTACAAGGGCTTCCAGTGGAGTTACTAAACTGTATTGAAGGGGCATTCTCTCCCTTCTATAGAAAAAGTACTAGTAACAGAGTAGTGAATGAGTTGTTCATATGACAGTGTTCTAAATCTGTACAAAGTTGTAATACGATTCATTAACATGGTTAAAATACAGTTTGGACCAGTCTTCAAAGACCAGACTGGGTCGTGTTTTAACATGATCCTTCAGCATAGTAGTTGAGCCTTAAAGGTAACCTACAAAAGAAATATAGGGTTTTGCACTTCAGCTTCTTTGTTAAAGGGTTTTTCAGGTTTTCAATTTCTGCTTGATTTTTTTATATTGGGTTCAGGTCTTATCTAACTCTGTTTTTCCTGAAGGCTGTATAAGAGATACCTGGGGAACTTGTAAGATTGACATTCCAACTAGTATCAGAGAAGTGAAACCTAATCATGGAAATTATTTTTATTCATAATTCTTAGAGCTTTGTTTTGCTTATTTTTTGGGCTGGTAACGCCTCATTAATTAAAATGCTTGATAAACACTTGGAAGAAAAGATCTTTAAAAGATGATCGGTCCTGGTTGAGAAAAGGTCCATTCTAGCTGTGTATCTTCCAAGAAGACTACCAGTGATACAGGAGAAGAGCAGATTTTTTTTAAATCTTTACAAAATATAATCAAAAGAATACTCTCCTTAAAAACCCCTTTGAGAGATGTGTTCATGCCTTCTGCTCCTTTACAAAACTCTTGCCTTTCTAGGTCCTCTTTAAAATTCAGCTGGTTCCTCCTCTCCCACAGACCGCAGAGAGAACCTACATGATTAGAATGACTATCACTTTTCAATTCTAAAAAAATGTTGGTCTTATGGCTTGTTTTGGGGGAGCACACCAGTGCTGGCCTGACAGGTGGGCTTTTGTAAGAATTGCAACTATTTATAACATTCCATTTGTAAAGAATGCCTTACCTGTCAAATCAGAAATTATTAGGCAGTCAGCCCACACGTGGAACCACCCATGACCATTCAAACGAGGTCTGGTTTCTGGTGTCCAGAGAGTTTCCTGTTGCTGCTTTTTCAGTTTTACAGCTTGCGTGACTTAGGGATATGGTCGGGTGCCTTTCCTGTAGCTGGAATGACTTGGTGTATTGAACAGGTTTTAGCTATTCAGCCTTCTACTTCAGAGCCTTTTTAACAACTGGATTGTGTTGCTGCTTGTTCGTTGCACAGTGATCTTTTATTTAATGCAGAAACGTGTAACTGCGAGCACTGTATGCAAACAATGATATATTGTGGGGTTTGCAAGTTAGTGCTATAAAAATTTACTCCTAAGATTTGTAAATCATGAAATTGAAGTCAGTGTTTTCCATACCTGAGCAAGTGCATGTAAATATTATGACTGCATCCTGCAGTAGTGCATTATTGCATGGAATCATCAACATTGAAGATGAAAAGCTAATTGATTATCTAGTTCCCCCTTCCAGAATGTGGTTGTTCCCTACAGTATAGTCACCAGTGCATTTGTTTTGCCTAGTTCTAAATGTCCTAAGTGACGGGTCTTTCTCTTTGTGAGACTATAGCGCAGTTTAATCAGGCTTGCTGACGGGATGTTTATTCAGATGCTGAGCTTGGTTTTCATTGTGCCTAGAAAATGGTATTTTATGCTTAGATTTTCAAAGGGGCCTAATGGAGTGATGTGCCCAAATCCTATGTAATTTCAGTGGGTTTGAACCCCTAGCTCCTTTAGGCACTTGAAAATCCCAGCCTTTGTGGGGTTTGTTAGTGTTGTGATCCAGATGTGATATGGTCTAATAGGTTCATAAACTAGTTTGTATTATACCCTTGATTGATGGAATTTTAGAAGAGCACTTGGGGAAATTAAGCAATTGGTTTGGCTGATGTAAAGCAGCAGTGTGATTGTGGTACATAAACTGGACAACTAAACCTACTTGTCAAAACGCTGATTTTGACATCCCAGTTTTCCTTTTCATTCTGTGAATCCTTGATCTTAAAATTGCAGTAGGACATGTCAGTGTGGGTGATTTTGTGTCTAAATTGACTTCTGTGGCCAAAGATGTGGGTTAATTGGCTAGTAGTGTACCCCTTGCCTTATTCCTGTAGTATTCAGAGGAAGCAGAAGTAATGTCTGTAAAGTTACTTAGCCAGTTTAGAAATCATTTGCTGTTTCTATGGTGGTAATGCATATAGGTCCCTAGAGTAGACCAGGCCTTAGTATTGTAAAGACTTACGGGTTCCCCATTTGAGCCATTGGCTATCTCCTCTCTGCTGCATCTATCAATGAAAGTGTCATTTTTGGTGACCGTTACCTCTCCCAGAAGAGTAGGGGAGCTACAGGCATTAATTTTGGGGCATCCATACAAGATCTTTTTTAAGGACAAAGTTCACCTGCATCCTCATCCAAAGTTTGTTTCAAAGGTGGTTTCTTCTTTCCTTATCAGTCAGACAATTTGACCATATTACCCAAAGCTACATACGAACAGGGATGAACAGCATTTGCATATCAAGGCTTAGACGTCAGGAGAGCCTTAGCAGTTTACCTAGACAGAACCAGGCTCTTCTATAAATCCTCCCATCTGTTCATAGCAATGGCAGACAGAGTAGGAAGCCATTCAGTCTCCACCCAGAGAAGTTCTTCCTGGGTCGCATCCTGTATACACATGTGTTGTGACTTAGCTAATGTCACTCCACCTGACGGAGTCTCAGCTCATTCAAGGCGGTTGCAGTTGGCCTCAGCAGCCTTTCTGGCACAAGTTCCAGTTGCGTACACTAGTCGAGTGGCAGCCTGGTTCTCTGTCCACACGTTTGCCTCCCGCTATGCTATGGCTTAAGACTCCAGAGACAATACTAGAGTTGGACGAGTTGTTCTTCAGGCTTTGTTGAAATAGACTCCTATCCCACTTCCTGTTCTTACGGCTTGAGTCACTCGAAGAAGAAAACAGTTACTAGCCTGTTGTATATGTCCATTCTGTAACCCACCCTCTTCTGCCCCTCTGCATTGGAGTTCTGCAAGAAGGAACTTGGGGGGCCCTGGGGATGGCTCTGCCCTTTATACCTGCACACAGTGGTACAGGGCAGCAGTGGGAGCTTGAGCCACCCCATGGGTCCTGCTGCGGGGAAATGTTTCTGACAGCTGTATGCAGGGCACACTGACACCAAGAATGGCATGAACGTGTGCAACGCATCTCAAAGAACAATAGTTACTATCCTGTTCAGTAACTGTTTTTTCAAATTTGTTAGTCTCGAAGGTGCCACAAGTACTCCTGTCTTTTTGCAGATACAGATTAACACGGCTGCTACTCTGAAATCTGTTTTTTCAAAAGTGCAGCAATGTGGGTGGGTGGGTTATATCCATAAGGCTCTGTAGACCTGTATGACTAGAAAAGCTACCACTGGCACAACGGAATGGAAAATGCTATAGTAGCGCTAAATGGTGTTAAAACATTCTCAGCGGCACTGAAAGGAGTTTATTCCAACTTAAGAACGTCCAAACTGGGTCAGGCCAACGACCCATCTAACCCAGTATGCTTCCAACATTGGCCAATGGATCATCCCCTGTCGGCCACTCCCACCTTCTGGCAGTCAGAGGCTAGGGATAACCAGAGTGTGGGGTTTAATCCTTGACCATCTTGGCTAATAGCCATTGATGGATCTATCCTCCATGAACTTATCCAATTCTTTTTTGATCCCCGTTATAGTTTTGGCCTTCAACATCTTCTGGCAACGAGTACCATAGGTTCCTATTTCTCAGGTGGATAAACTGACACAGATAAATTAATCGCCCAAGGTCAAACTGTGTTAGACCTGGTCTACCCTAAAAATAGAGCAACATAACTACATTGCTTAGGGGAGTGAAAAATTCCCATCCCTGAGCATCACCACTCTGCTGGCTTTAAACCATGGGGTAGACATAGTGAGGTCAACTGACCACTGCTCAGGGAGGTAGAATTCCTAGAGTGAGGGCAAAAATCTTTTCTGTCAGTGTGTGATTCATCTACACTATGGGGTACAGCAGCATAGATGTGGTGCTGTAGCCCACATAGTGTAGACACGGCTTTGGTGTCACGCCTATAAACGTAACCCAGAAGTGCTGTCTCAGTTGACCTTCTAATCACTAGACTGCTTGTTCCATTCTTACACCTTCTGCCACCCCACCCCCACCCCCAAAAATAGCAAGAAGAACTTTTCTTTGGGTTTCTACCTGAACTGCCCCTTGGTGGAAGCCATATGAATAATCATTAGCAGCCACTGAGCATCCTGTCTCAGCAGGGGACAGCCATAATAGTCTGTGCAGAATGATACAAAGATGAGTGTTCAGGGTACCCAGGATTGAGTGTCACCTTGTTACCTCCTGCCTCCAGTGAGAGGGAGTCTCGCCTCTGGTAGCTGAGTGTCAGTTCTCTAACACTGCTGGCCTGTCAGCCACGCAAGCACGCTCTGAGCTAGGGTAGCTCCGTCTTTGACTTGCAGGTTAACAGAATATGAACCCCAGTCCCCTTGAAATGTTCTTCTGTGATATCCTGCCCCGACACTGGCTACTCATGGAAATCCCGGATTCTCTGCTCCCAAAGGAACAGTGTACCCCAGTTTACCGGCTTTACCTTAAATCACAGCTCCTGTATAACGCATAGAACTGAACACTTATATAAACCTTCTTTTGGGTTAGTATGAGTGTATAAATTCCACTAGAAACAAGTATGTGATGGAAACTAATGGTTACAATACAAAACAAAATCATAAAATACAAACTAGGGCCTACACTTAATAGTTACCTTTCTTATCTAACAAAGTCAGTTTCCCCCACATCATTCAGTCTGTTGCAGAGCTGACTGGCTTCTCAGGAACCAAAATCCAATCTTTCACTTAACACCCCCATACTCAACAAGATGTCTCCTCAGTGAATGGATTCAGTGTGTCTTTCTCCACCCTTTGATATACTGAGTCTGTCTTTTGTCTTTATTCACAGTCCAGTGATTCCCTGTCTGTTTCACTGTTCCTTTTTACCTCCAAGTGGTTTTGATTGTTTGCAGTTGGCTTTGATAGTTTTCCAACTGTTCTGGGATGGACAAGGGTAGACAATTGAACCTTGCATTACATCACCAGCTGACCAGGGAGGGGTGAGGACACCTTGTGCTTGAATGGGCCATCACCAAAACACGATTCCCTGGTGACACTTTTACTCCGGGACCATAAGGCATAGTTATCAATATACACCTCTACCCTGATATAACGCTGTCCTTGGGAGCCAAAAAATGTTACCGCATTATAGGTGAAACCGCGTTGTATTGAACTTGCTTTGATCCGCCGGAGTGCGCAGCGCAGCGCCGCCCTCCTCCCCCCCAGCCCCCCCCCCTCCCCCCCGGAGCACTGCTTTACCACATTATATCCAAATTCATGTTATATCGGGTCACGTTATATCGGGGTAGAGGTGTAGTTAGGTTATTCCTTAAATATTAACTGTGTACACACCTTGCAATGAGTATTGATAATTAAGAGCTTTTAATACAGACCTCACATGCTACCCATCGTTAATAAATACTGTGAAAGTGGTATATTAGATGTAGTGAGTTTGTCAGGTCTGACAGTAGTTGCTTGTAAAGAACAATGAACCTGTTGGCACCAATGGGTCTCAGTGTCATTGTGAGCATTCCAAGTATTTGTATTTATTGTAGTGCCTGGCTCTTGGTCTACGACTAGGTCTTTTCGCTGTGCTAAGTGCTGTACAAACACAAAACACAAATATGATCTCTGTCCCCAGCAGCTTACAATCTAACGCCCACCCCCCAGATTTAGTGTTGTGCCTCACCAGTGGGGTGTTGTGGCAATTTACATTTGGTTTTGGGGAGTTTGAGAGGAACTTGATGTGAAATATAAGCTGTGAAAAAGGTGAAAATCCATTTCACCAGTGTTGGGGTTTTTTGGAGCGGGGAATGAGTGTTCTATATACTTTGAATCTGCTTATGCTCTTCCATACAGAAACTCCTCATAGTTAATACTAACCGGAGAATTGTGCCTTCAGGTTCTTGAGCAAAAATTGACATTTTGATGTGACTGCCATTTTCAGAGGTTCCTATTTAAGAGATTACTGTAAATTAAATATGATAGTGCAAGAAGTATGCTCTAGTTCAGGGGTAGGCAACCTATGGCACGCATGCCGAACGCGGCACACAAGCTGATTTTCAGTGGCACTCAGACTGCCGGGGTCCTGGCCACCGGTCCGGGGGCTCTGCATTTTAATTTAATTTTAAATGACGCTTCTTAAACATTTTAAAAACCTTATTTACTTTACATACAACAATAGTTTAGTTATATATTATAGACTTATAGAAAGAGACCTTCTAAACACATTAAAATGTATTACTGGCATGCGAAACCTTAAATGAGAGTGACTAAATGAAGACGCGGCACACCACTTCTGAAAGGCTGCCGACCCCTGCTCTAGTTAGACAGAAATGAAGGCACAAGCTCTACCCCAGGAAGTTTACAATCGAAATCAGTTTCTAACCTGTGGGGGAGGCATCAGACTAGTCAATGAGAGGGGGAGCCGAAGCCAGAGGAGGTGATGGATGTGGGAGAGGGAAGGTGCAGGACCCCAGGTTGATGCAGCTTCCCCTGACTCACTGCAAGCATATTGCTGCATAGCAAATAAGCTACTGGCGGCTCCCTGAAAATCTTTCCTGCCTTTCTTTGTGTGGCTGCTAACGGAGCTGGACATTGTAAAAGTCAAAGGTGTAGTAGGGCTGCGGCCTCGGTGTGCCAGCCCAGGCTTCTCTCTCCTCAGCTTTGACTGGCAAATCGATGGTTGTCCACCTCCAGCATCGTATCCCTTCTGATTAGGGAATGGGGAGAGGGATTCGGTTTTTACCAGTGCGGGGAGTAAGGGTGAGGAGTCAGCAAAATATAAGAAGGAAGAAAAATACATCAAGGAAACAAATGAGGAAATACAGAGAAACAGTGGCCTCTGCTGTCCTTTTTTACAAAGTACATTATCCATTTTAGACTCCTATTTAACTTAGGGTACGTCTTCACTACCCGCCGTATTGGCGGGTAGCAATCGATTTATCCGGGATCGATATATCGCATCTCGTTAAGACATGATATATCGATC